CGCAAGAAGTCGATGGCAGCGACCAGGGAAGCCTTCAACACGTGGACGAGCAAGAGAGCCTCCCGGAAGGAGCAGCTACGGCTGTGGGTTTTGCGCAACACGATGAATTTTTTGAGGAAACGGTTGGGCGGGCACGCTCAAGCGTGAGTGGGGAGGGTACGTATCTAGACTATATGTCGCGGTGTGTTGTAGTGTTGGTTTCTCGCGTTTAGGCGCGGTAGAGGCGTTCGTCATGGTGACCAACTCAACGCTATGATAGCTTTCTCTCTTGGTATCGGACTTGCTTAGAGAGAACGGATGTGATTGCTGCATGCTTTGTTTGCAGCACCTTCACCAGCCAGGGGTTGAGTAGAAAGTAAACGGCGGTATTGCATGTATGTATGTACATATGTAACGTGTAAATATTGTAAATATGGATTGACAACGGTTTAACTGATGTTCTGAAGGCATATACGTGTAGAAGGGAGGGGTTGAGGGGGGGTCGTGGTGTACTTTGGGGGCTCCGTGGGGTCATGAGGGGGTGAGGGCTCCGTGGGTCATTTTGGTCAAAAACGTCGCATTTCACCCAATCACCAAAAACTCATCAGATATCGACGAAGCTCGACGCCGCGGTCACGCCCAAAGTTGTTTCACTTTCCAAATCGTTTTTTTTCGAAAGATATCGCGAAAAACAAGATTGTGAATATTTGCCCGAACGGACCATAGGCCTGACCAAGACTTTCTCTCATTAGTAACGGTCACGCCGGGCTTCGAACCCACGACAGAAAGCTGTAAGGAAAGCGGTCTTCCCACTGGACTACTTAGTCGCGCGACTAAGTAGTCTAGTCTAGTGGGTAGACCGCTTTCTTTACATCGACAACGTGTTTTTCACGTGCTGCATGTTGCACAACATGCTGCACAACTTCGACGGAATGGACCAGTTGGTGGAGAACACGCACTGGGTCGTCAGCAGTGCCGGGGCGGGGACTAGGGTGTGGCGACCGAGCAGGAGGCGGTCTCTAGCTCTGTTGGGGGGAAGGACACCAACGACGAAGAGCAAGCAGAGAAAGGGCACGGGGAGCGCAAGAGGAAGCTTACTACGAGCTTCGCGTACCGCAAGAAGCACAAGAAGGACATTGTCTGGCTTTCTAGGTGATCGACTCCGGTGTACTGTAGAGCTTTGCATAGTGTCAATGTTGCGCCCCACCTTGTCTTACACAAACCGCTGCAGCACCGTCGGACCTGTGCAGCCTTCGGGTGAACATTTTCTTGTAGCGTGCGTGACTGTTTTTTTGGGCACATAGTACGGCAGCAATGGCTTTTATTCTCATTCCCACCCCACCCCTTCCCCGTCCCCTTTACCCACCACGTGTTTATTGGTTGTACCGCCTGACTTGTGTGGTGCTCGGGTGAACATTTTCTGGTAGCATGTGTGACTTTTTTTTTTGGGTACATGGTACAGCAGCGATGGGTTTTATTTTCATTCCCACCGCCCCCCTTCCCCGTCCCCTGTACCCACCACATGCTTTTTGATTGTACCGTGTGTGACTTGTGTGGTGCTCGGGTGAACATTTTCTTGTAGCGTGCGTGCCCTTTGTTTCGCGTACGGACTACGGCAGTAGTAATACTTTGTTTCCACCTGCCTGTCTCTACGGCCTGGGATGCATGCGGTGTGTNTTTCTTGTAGCGTGCGTGCCCTTTGTTTCGCGTACGGACTACGGCAGTAGTAATACTTTGTTTCCACCTGCCTGTCTCTACGGCCTGGGATGCATGCGGTGTGTGCAAAGGTCGTCGCACAAAGGGGAGGTGGTCTTGCAAGACGGGTCTTCTTCT